CAAATACGGGTTTGTATATGAATTCACCCATTTCAGTCTACAAAGTATAGTTGAATGACACATAGAAGCCATCTTACAGTATGTGAAGTCTTCCGTTAAGTGTCTGATGCTGTTAATCGTGTTTCGTGCAGTTACGTAACACTCTGAAAAACTTTCCTACATCGTCACATCGGCACTAAGGCCGAATACGACAGCAATTACAGTATACATGCTTTCATTAAAAACAATTTTTAAAAAAGTGAAAACATAAGGCGTGCTTAAGTTTTGTATGTTTCTATTATAGTATGAAGGCGAAGCATTTTGCGTGCACGCTTATATAAAGATTATAGATTTATTGCTTAAATAAAAAGCCGAAATAAATTATCTGGACTTGGAAATTGGTATCATAATTTAGTACATTCAATGTTATGACTCACTTTAACGTTCGTTTCTGTTTATACCTTGGCTTATTTGCGTATATGGTTGGGTTTGAATACGTAGTTGATATAAATAAAAAGGTATTGGTTAATTGATTTCCCACCAGTAAGTTTTTCAATTGTATTTCACATAATCGACATTCAATAGGCCGGAAATACCACAACAGCGTGTTTCAATAAAGATATCTAACATAAAATAAATTAAAACAGCAGATAATATGCGTGGGATGGTGTCCTCGAATATCTGTAGTTCTATACACATTTTTAAAAATTAAATAGAATTAACTATACACTTTCGTAGTAGTAGTAACGCATTTATTTTAACACGATAAGTTTACAGCGTAGCTGATGTGGTCGTGCATTTACATTATCCTAATTTATCCTAAGTCTATTCATCCTATTATGTTTCCGTATTTCACGTTTGAAATTATTCAAGTTATCTATAGCTCTTGTATTATTGTCCAATGAGTTGCAACACAGCGGCTTGATAGAAGATGGATTTTTTTAAATTATTACTTTTACTCTTGGTAGGCGGCCGTTATAGCAATTAGATGCTAGTATTAACAACCTGTTTAAGTACATATCTTTAAGCGATGTCGATTTACGTGAGTAAAAATTTCCACTGTTGGCGTCTGCCAGCTCAAATAATAAATAAGTCTGGCGGCTCTTACGTGTATTCGCTCTAATTCTCCAAAAAGTACGGCCCAACATGAACCCCATATTGTAAGACCATATGCAACTGAAGGCAATAGTACTTCAAAGTAAAAATTTGCCCTGGCCTCAGGTAAAAAATATAGAGATTTTAAAGGTTCACTTTCTGGGCGAACGACCTTGTTACTTCGTTAACATAAGCTTTCCACTTTAATTTGTTGTTTATTTGAAGACCCAAACTTTTTGATTTTTCGACTTGCTAAATACAATTATTTCCCAATCTGATCACTGGTAACGGCCCCATAAAATTAGTTCGACTGAGTATCATATATTCAGTTTTTCCAGGATGAGGTGTTAGGTGTTTATTGCAGCATACTTATATAGCTTAAATAGGACTTTATTTAGTGCTGCACAAACTAAATCATGGGTTGTCCCAATTACATAAATGGTGCATGAAGTCATCAGCATACATGAATATTTGCCCGTCATCGTTTTCCAGATATTTGGCAGATCATTAAAAAATAATGAAAACAGAATAGGGCCTAGCACTGACCACTGAGGCATTCCATATTTTAGTGGCATTGGCTTTGATTGGCATCCATTTACAATTGTTACTTCTTGTCAATCCAACAATCTAATTGTCAATCCAACACCACAAATCCCCTGAGATGCCAAAACTTTGTAATTTTTTCAATAGTATCGAATGAGATATAGAATCAAATGCTTTCTTGAAATCAACGAAAGCAATACCTACAACTTTATTTTCATCCAGTGCTCTTCTCCAATCTTCGTTCATCTTGATTAACAACAGTTCAGTGGAATGTCCTTTTTTTGTAAGCCCAGTGTCGTCGATTACTTAGATGATTTTGTACAATATGGGTTGTAATTGTTAAGGCAAAGCTTGATTCCAAAATTTTACTTGGCACGCAAAATAAAAAAAACCGGACGATAGTTTGTCATAATTCGTCATCCTTTTTAAAATAATGGTGTAACATTGACTGATTTCCACAATTGTGGGACACGACTAAGCGAAATATTAATCAAGAAAGGTTGACCCTGCAAAATTATACGTACTGAACGTGCAAAGCATAATGGGTTATTTTATAATCACTTATTTATGTGTGAACTTTGCTCTAATAACCAACTACGTATTTACTATTTAATGTACGCCCTTTGCATTATTGTGACATTAATTAATGTTGCAATTGCTTTCTGACTACTGAGTAAAACACACTAACACGAATTTGTGGTAGAATGGGTTGTCGGGTTGAAGTACTCCAGTAATAGTTATTTACAAAATTGTTTTACAATTGACCGATTACTTCCAGATAAAGTGACGACAGAACACGCGTTGGTCAAACATCGACGAGCATGAAGGGCGCGTCAAGTACCGTTTACGCACTCGTCAGACAACCGTCTGGGGTGATTCAGGGACTAGTTGCAGCGAAGTCGAGGTTGGCGAAGCAGGGTTTGACGATACTTCGTCTTGAGCTCGTCTCGGCACACATGGCCACCAACCTTGCCAGCAACGTAGAAGCAGCTTTGTATAAGGATTTCCAGTGTCGAGCATACATGGCTGGGTAGCTTATATAGATAGTACGGTCGCACTTCGCTGGATAAGGGGAGCAGGTGAGCATAAGCAGTTTGTCGCCAATCGAGTCCACAAGATTCAATCCTATCCACAGATCCATTGGCGTCACGTCACATCCCTACACAAGAGAATCCGGCGGACCTGGGTAGCCGAAGGGGAGAAGTTAAAGATGATAGGCTTTGGCGGAATGGAACGAATTGGCTCGCCGAAAAGGACCAGTGGCCCCAGATATCGTGGCCACAGGAACCAACGAAAGTTATGCGGAAACTAAGGTCGTTCGAAAAATCTTCGCTGCCGCTGTCGAAGTCATGAATGACAACTTTGATAACCTTTTGACGAAGTTGGACATGAGTAAGACATTATACGCGTGTGCGCGTGGGGATCAGCGAGTGAAAGGGCCCTTATTAACAGATGAAATCGAACAGCAACGCCTGTTCTGGGTCAAAAGAACCCAAGCTAGATGCGATTTAATCTTCAAGAGAATCTGGAAAACGTGTTAGAATGCCGCCCGATTCCCACTCATTCACCTCGAAGTTAGTCGAAGATGCGCACCGGCACCGACGTACACTGCACGGCGGAGTTGGATCGACAATGGCACGGGTGAAAGAGTTGTATCGGGTTCCTCGACTGCGACAACCAACCCGGAAAGTCAAAAAGCGTTGCTTCGGATGCCGGCGGTCGATGTTCGATGCTGTGGCACAACCACCGCCCGGGCTCCTTCCTTTACATCCAACAGAATGTAACCGGCCTTTCCAAGTCGTAGGCGTGGACTTTGCAGGGCCTATCAAGTATCAGAAAAGAACGAAGAAAGAAACAAAGTCATATATACTGCTGTATGCATGTGGCCTTTCGCGAACAGTCCACCTCGAGCTGTTACCTTCGTTGGAAACTAGAGAGAGTAAGTCCGGACAAAGTTTATTCCGATAATGCTAAAACGTCGGAGGCCGCAGCTAAATGACTGAAAACAACGCAGAAAGACGAGAAACTCGGCGATTTCCTTGCACCAAATAAAATCCGTTGGCAATTCAATCTAAGCCGCTCCCAGTTTGGAAGATTAATTGGACTGGTGAAAAGAGCTTTGAACAAAACGATTGGGAAAGGTTGTCTCAAATGGAATGAGCTCCAGGAAGTTTTACTTGATGTCGAGGTTTCACTAAATAGTAGGCCTCTCAGTTATGTCGAGGACGATGTAGCTTTGCCTACCACTGTCACCTAACTCTATGCTATTCGTCGGATCAACGTTTGCAACCAGAGCTTGAACTATACCATGTTGAAGAAGTATATTTGCGAAAACGTGCGAAAAGTATCTATTAAAGTGCGAAAACGTCATGTAGCGAAGGTGGACAATGTATCTTCGTGGCTTAAGAGAACGCTATAATCAGAAAACGAAGAACACCTCATTTACTGTAGTGGAAGGTGATGTAGCAATAATCTAGTCAGATGAACGAAGTAGAGGAAAATCCACTTTTAAAAGATTTGTGTGAGAAATCTTTCAAAATTCAAAACAAAACAAAACATAAATATCCAGTGATCCCCACAGTGTAAAACCCGTATATGTTTTCACATATAAATTCGTATGTTGTTTTGAAGTGAACCAGTGACATCTTATATATTTTCTAAATTTGACCCAAGATGACTGATGATGAGTTTAATTTTTCACATTTTAGCTCTAATTTAAATTCTCCCGCGTCCGGGACAATATACGGTTCTAGTTAATTGTCGAAAGGTGCACGACAGTACAAAGTGCAGAGACCAACATCTATTTGTCGGTGATATATTTTTGCAATTTGCTGTATTTAAATGTCATTTTATCTTATTCTTGCAAAAATCCGCCATTTGTAGGTGTTTTGGTAAACGATGACAAAAAACACTTCACACGCACAACCTCCCCACCATAACCTCCTCCCCAAATAGGCAATTTTTGAAAGGGGGTGGCCTATGAACGCTGTAAAAAGGCAGTATATATAACCCCCATTACAGTTTCAGTCGACCGAACGTTTTTGTTAATAAACATGTTAAAATGGCTTGTCTACAGGTCGATCATAACTCTGGTCAGCCGATTACTGAATTATCCGCGGACCTAAAAATGTGAATGCCCTACTCTCTTCTACAAGGTGACTAAAAAAATTTACGACGTATATATTGAATAATTTAATCCTTATATGCGGTATAAAAGATCTGGGGCCGGTTGTATCAAGCCCGTTTAGCTTAAACGGTGGATAAGTCAAATTTAAATAACACTCTTTCTCTGTTAGAAAGCTATATGAAGATGCGATTTCTATTGTCTGAACACGCTGTATAAAGGCTACCGTGATCTGGTAATAGGTTTTATATCTACTAACCTGATTAGGATATGAATAAACTCCGCCCTGTGCTCCGCGATAACCACATTCAACTCTTCATCAGAACTGAAACTCATCAGTTCGTCCCTGAAAGTCTTGTCTTCCATCAATCGATCCAAGCTTTCCTTATAAGGCATTAAATAGTTCAACTTGTATGCCATCAAACAGGCTATAGCGAGCTTCTGAATTTCTCCATCTTTTAAAGTTAACAACGTAAGATATATTTGTTTCATGGCTGGCTCTTGGTAAAGTTTGCTTGGATTTTTGAATAAACCAAAGAGAGTTAGACAGGCGCTTAATGTTTTCATTCGAACAGGACGGGCTGTCCTGAATTTATCTTGGGAACTTTTCTTATTTCCGGCTTTACCTACACTTCTGCTATAGTCAACGTCCGTTGTATTAATACAGGGGCCATTATTAATTTCCCTCGCAATCTCGAAATTATTAGAATCACTGGATTGCACTTTGGTATTCTGGTCGGCTTTGCTTGGATCATCGTCGGTATCTGTTGGATTGCTGTCATTTAGCTGATGTCCGATATCTCCAGAGTCATGTTCGGCAGTGTCCGTTTCATGCTCGGTATTTTTCGTTTCATCCTCGACATCGTTCGTATCATTGTCGGTTTCCGCTAGGTCACTTTCGATGCCAGTTATTTCATGGTCAACATCGTTGGGTGTATCTTTGCCTCTCGTCAAATCCTGGTAGGAAACTCTCCCTGCTTCATCAATGACAGAACACTCCTTCCTACACAAGAAATATTGCAAAATAAAATAGTGCAATTTATTAAAGAATAAGAGAGAACTTCCTAACATAACGGTATTATAAAAACTATTATAGAAAATTGAACAAAAGCTCAAAAGAAGCTGGTGAAGATTCAAAAGTGGCCCTGAAAAATCCTAGCTATTTTGGAAAGCTCAGACGACTAAACAAGCAGAAAAACGACTAAAAAAGTGACAAAAAGGACGAGACATCCGTAAAAAGGAAGCACGTTCCAAATTTTTAAAAAAATTGGTGTGTCTAAGACAACGGTCTGTTATTGTACAAGAATTCCGGAGAATGAAGACGGCAACATACAATTTTAGAAGATGCTAATTCAGTCCTCCGGCAGGAATCAAACGTACACCTCTGCGATTTGATCGCTAAGATCGTATGTTTCCGGAAAAACCGTCAACATTTAATTTATGTAATGCAGACGAAGGAAGAGCATTTACCAATCTATTAGTTGTATAAATATATTGTACAAGTTATTATAGTGTTAACGTAGTATAGGCGGGTGAATTGCTATAACCATACCTAACAAACTCCAGGAACAGCGGCACTACTTGACGCGAGCGTGCTTCCACTATCTGAGGAAACTTTGCCATACACTTCCACAGTAACAATCTGAAGTTGTGACGGTCAACTCTGTTGTCTTCTCTCGCCCCGATGCACATTGTCAGCTTTCTTTGAAAAAACACGCTCAGCGTCGTTTGTGATGCTGGGACATCCTGGTTTGAAACAGGCATAATAACGTTTTCCTCTAAAAAAAGTAATACACAGGACAATGATTTGTGCGAAAATCAATTTAAACAATTTAAATCTATAGATTGACAGGCAGGGGTGCAGCGAATGAGTCATACGGTATTCATGATATTGACTAACTTTTATAATGAAAATGTTCAACTCTCTGATCTTCACATTTTTCAAATTCTAAGCCAGGCCTCCTAAATAGCCGATTTTGGGAGTGACTTGATAATATTCAGTACTTGTAAGCCAGTACTTGTTGCATAATCATTAAATTCGCTCGAATTAAATGCGGTGGTTCTCTGACCGACAACAAAGCGATTTGGCGATTTTGTCACACCCCCTTACTGCACCGCCCCCCTCCCCCGCCGTTACCACGTGAAAGCTGCGTGTTGATTACCTGAATCTGTTGGGTCTCGGGCAAGATAGTCATGAAACACTTTCCAAAACGTCATTTTGTTCTCTTCAACAGCATAGGTGGAAATGAGGGTCATAATGGGTTCCCACATGGTGCTGAGGTTCAAGTACAGCATAGCAATTAAATATCGTAATGGTCCTTCTCTGATTACGTCGGGCGCTTGGCGCGTGTTCGAGTAAACCAGCTTTTGTAGAAAGATCAATTTTCGACGGTATTCGTGAAAGGTAAGCGGCACAAGTTCGGCTTCGAGGCAATCACCGAAAACGTCGCATTTTACTCCGTGACTTTCTGTATCCTAAAATTATAGGTAAATTTTCAAACCAAATATTACTTATACTGAAATTTCCCTTGACACTAAGAAGCCTCTTTCAATAAAAGTTTATGATAATTAAAGAAGAATCCTGTTTGTCGTAAAATACTATAACTTGGATATGGATATAATGGATATGTCTCACTATAACTGGGCCTCGTCCCTATACAAACTGCATCATTTGAGCTTAGTTAATTTAGGCTTTATAATTATGGTTAAATCCATAAAATATCATTTATTTCTACAATTCATACGAACCATGCTAGTGTCCATGTCCAACGGCTCAAACGTTGTAAGAATTTTCAACGTCAATAGTCGGACCAGCCGTGCGTGTGACGCAAGATTCTTCTCAACACAACCGTACACTTCAACGAACTTCTTAGCGTCCAAGATCAACTGTGACATTTGTTCTTTGATAACGGAGAGATAAACATGGAACCCTTGAAGTACGTGAACATCACTCGAATAATTCCTAAATAAGATTATTTTTTCGTTGTTACATCTCCTAAAAGACTTGGACATATAAAGATGATGGAATGAAAATTACATGGGTTAACTTTTAACAAGATTTTATTTGTAGAAATATTTGCTAGACATTCTCTTTTCATTTGCCCACATAAAGGGTGTCCCATGCAAATTTTTGTACTTAGCATTGCACTTCGCATATAGTTAATCCTCACAGGCAAAAATTCGTGAACAAGTCATTCAAATTTTAACAATAGGTGGTTTCAATAGTTTTGATTTCCATGTTTTTTTTTGGAGACACCCTGTATTTCACAAATGTGAATGCACAGCTGCATATAATTAGATGTTGCACCTGCATAATTAGTTGCTGTTCCATAAACCAAAATTTCGAATTAAAATACCGTGTTGACAATGTGTATCTAGGGTGCAATGCCGTGGCATGTTTACCTTAGAGTATCCAAGACAAAGTTGTATGATAGTGTTTCCTCCAAAGGGACACCATGAAACTTGCACGAGAGGGCAATACATGCCACACAGCGAGAGAGCAAAAACAAGACTTTGGTTTTGTCACTTGTGCATTGCACTACCTCGCTTAGACGGTTAAACAGTTTTTGCAGAGAACATAGTATTGTATTAATCGAGAGAGGTCTAAAAAGGGCAGAAACGAAACTTCATTATAAAGCATTCAGGTTTCACAGACAGATTACCGCATGATACTAGCACCATGGTACTAGCACCATAAATGACAGAGTAAGGTCCAATATATATTATGCATAATGACGTAACACGCCGTGATGCTTGCAGGGAATTCTAGCCTTAGTAGTCACGGCGGGAAATTTAAACTTTATAACTGTGATTATTAAGACCAGAATTCCTTGCAGGCGTCACGGCTTGTTACGTCATAGTTAATACATAAGGTCCACTGTCTGTGTTATATGTAAGTTATCAACAGAAAACATAAAATTGTTGATCATAGATTACCGTATAAATGGTAGAACCACAAGACACGCCCATATTGTTTCACATTCAGCAGACACCTCACATTCGAACTTTAGCAAACCTTTCCACCAATTTGTGCTTTTCTTGGCCGCCATCTTGGAAAAAAATATTGTAGTTATTTCTTCCTCACAAACACTGTCAGAATAGCCTTCTTCAAACGACATGCCTTTCAAAACCATTTCCGAGAACATGAGAAGAATTTCGTTTCGTTGTTGTTGGTCTAATGATCCAGAGAGCATCAGTTCCTCGAAGTAATCAATAAGTTTTGGTCGAACAAATTCATCAAATTTCGGCCATTGACTAAGGCTTCGGCAAAACACACATATGTTGGCAACGGAGAAGTGATTAGACGCAAAAACTAAACTCAGGAGTTCAGTTTCTTCCCTGGTCTCGACTTTTTCGCTGTTCAGTAAAAGTGACGAGGCAAGTTTCAAAATGGCGGAGATTGAAGACGACGATGTTGTGTTGGACTTTATTAGGCTGACGACACACTGCAAGAGAGAAGGTGAAAACTGGATAAGAAAAAAAAGGTATAAACATGGAGTAGAGAACGAGCCCATGAAATGTTCCTGATTTCGGATCTTTATACCGTGCAGTCAGACTGCAATCAATTTAAAAAGAGAGAGTTTAGTTTTAATCGATTTCTTGCGTAAAATGAAATAAAATTCCCGCCTTATGTCGAAACGTAAGTGACAATTATCACGAGATTGGTTTATATTGCAATGATGTATTTTAAAGCATTGTGTTTTTAAATACAGTACTTTAAAATGTATTGTTATGTTGTTAAAATATTGTTAACATTGACAAAGTTCAAACCTTTTGTAACTGCGATGCATCAGATATCAAATATCCTTGTTTGTATTCTGCCCAAAATTCAGTCAATTGAACCAAATACTTTAACTTTTCAGATTCAACATAATTCAGGTCATTCGCTTCGAGCAAGGTATCAATAGCAGTAACTAAACAATCCCATATCACTTGGCTGTGCTCACTATTCGTGTACTTGGCCATTTCATCAAACATACATACAAATACTTGAAAAATCTAGAATAATAAATTCAAAGGATTAACCTATGTTGTTCATAATGAAGAATCAAGAGTTCTCTATTAAGACAAGTTAAGTGCGTAGTGCCTAAGGCTAAGTGGGTTCAGGATCGTAAAAGCATCTTTAAAACTCCATTACGTTGTCCTTAGGCTTAGCATCGCCATATTTATCAAATTCTTGTCAGTACAAGACGCATTTAAAATATTATTAGTATAAAACCGCATTCAGGACCGAAACTAAAACGATATTCAGTTCCGCCCGTTCCCTGCATGCATCAGTTGTGAATTTGATTTTTTTGTGCCGATTACCAAAGTGAAATATTGGCCGTAACGAACGTCAGGAAAAGGGAACACTAAAATTCCGAGGAAACACCACAGGAGAGCTGGGATATAGGTGAGACGAAAAAATACTTTTAGGGCAGTTAATACAGAACAATGCGCCAGCTCCGGTCGCTCAAAATCAACCATAGGCATAGAAAACATATTTGAAATTGAGTAGGCTTGTTAAATTTTAGTTGTCTCTTTTGAACACTGTCACTGACTTTGAATAAAAATGGTAGATGCAAACTTTCATGATATAAACGCGGATAACTGGTTTGTGGTATTTGTTTTGCAGTACATGGACAACATGCAGTGTTCGCCACTTCGCATAGTTCCTTTTTATTGCTGTTTTTACATTACATTACATCGTATAATTACTGACTGCGCAAAAAGTGTGGTTCGTGTTACGAGGCTTTGTGGGGACACACAAAGTGCTACAGAACTTCTGTAGAGGGTGTGTAAAAAAATGGTAAACTAATTTCAGTACGCTGTTGTGCGTAAACTGCTTTATAAACAAGTGTAAGTTTTTGATATTATGATAGATCAGCCTTTTTGCTGTCGAATGACATCTTTTTTGTACCATAGGCATAGTCCATATGGGGAAGAAATAAGCAAATATGACTTCGCTCAAAAATCATGACGGAAATCGCTCATGAAAATCATGACGGAAATAAAAAGACTATTGAAATTCAACACTCATGCCTAGTTAATCGTTCTAACTATCGTTTAACAAAAGCCAGGCTTGACATTTGTGTGATTAATTGCTTTTTCTCTTGTTCAGATTAAAGCAGAAGTGGAAATTTTCACCAAAGTATTTCAACAAACCCATATCAAATCATTTAATCTCCATTTGTTACAAAATCTTACCACCACAAAAATCCAATCAAGTAATATCTGCACAATAGCCCGCTTAAATTAGGTGACCATTTTTTTATATAACATTAAGAATTCAAGTAATTTCATTGGTGGAGAGCCATGATCTATAAGAGAACAGACGCACGGAAAACCCACGGAATGACCTCACAGATAATTTTAGTGAATTTACTGATCAGCCATCGTTTTATTTTGTCAGCCAATCACATTTTAGTATGTGTCCTAAGCTAGCCAATAGTCAATCATATAGATCATGTAGGCCTGATATCTGAAAAATTTCTACTTTGACAATTTTGCAAGTTTTGGGGAAACTATATGACTGTTTATAGTTTCGGTTTTATTATATAAAACAAATAGATAACATTGAACCATTGTCTGTTCAGTTATAGATACACAGTATGACATCATTTGTGATAAGAAGAAAACAAAGTGGCCACAAGCAGGCGGGCAAGTGGTCATTTTTGTTCTTATCACAAATCACCTCATACTGTATATCTATAACTGAGCAGACAAGGTTTCAATGTTATCTATTTGTTAATAATAACATAACCAAAACCCACTTTTACAAATCTTTGCCAGGTAATTTTACAAATCTTTGCCAGGTAATCAGTAAGATACGGTAACTCTGACATTATTAGGTCATGCAATTCTTACCTTATCCCCCTGCTCTAATGTCTGGTCAATCTCAGAGTCAGGTGCAAGCTTACTCAACAAAATAGTAATAACATTTTCTGAACATGAATGGAACTGATTTTGAATGCCACGAACGGTTTCTGCAAATAACCTTCCAACACCTGGCAATATCTGCGGGGACTTCAGGACATGATTGAAAATGTAGTCAAGTAAGTCAGGTAAATTTTTGGACTTTCTAATAAGAAAGGCAAAACTCTCTGCGGCAAATCTATGTATATGTCCAGCTTGATTACCACTTAATAATGGGCTGTATGATCTGTCAACATAAATAAAAAAGTACATTAGATCAGTAATAAGCAACAGAGAAAAAAGCTCTATATAAGTCAATCACAAAATCATAACGTTTCGACTTTAATATCTTTCTCAAGATATTACCTTTCTTTCAACTTGAGAAAAATATTAAAGTCGAAACGTTATGATTTTGTGATTGCCTAGTGACTTGACTATATATATTACTTGACTGTGACAGGTTAATTTCAATGCAGTAATCTTAAACAACAGTGCAAAAATCTGTAATCACAGTGAAAAATTATATATATGTGTATATTATCAAATCAAATTATATATATATTATTAATAAGTAATAGCATGGTTTCTCATGAAATTTGAATATAACAGGCACTTGTGAGTTTTTCAAAGGCCTCAAATAGCACTCGTCCTTCAGACTCGTGCTATTTTGAGGTCTTTGAGAAACTTGCTTGTGCGTGTTATATCCAAATTGCACTCAAAACCATGCTATTACCTATACTAATAGCAATAAAATTGATGTATGCTGTACCATCAGGTGACCGGACACAAAGGAACTGCTGGGAATTCCAAAGCACAAAGTACAAGATTGTGAGGAAGACACCTGAAGAAAGTCTTATGCCTGTATTCTAACAGCTCACTCAAACTTATCAAGTGGGAGTTCATAATCTTCTCATGAAGTTTCCATGGTGGAATTTTCAGTCGGATAGGGTTTTGAGTTTCAGTGTTTTACCTTAAATTTTTCCGCAAATTGAGAAAGAACTTTTTCACTGGCCAGCATTGACAAAATTTACATGTCACACTCAATGAGTGTAAGTGTGAGTGAGTTTTTTGAATACAGCCTATAACCAGCTTTCATCATTTGAGTCTTAGCCTATAACCAGCTATATATAGCTACAAGAAGTCTAGTTCTATGTGAAACATGATTTCATATCAGTGATATAACTACCTGAACAGCAATTTGAGATCTTTAACAAGATATCTCCACTGAAATTTGAACAGATAGGCTAGAGTCTTGAAGCAATCTTCGATCTTTTGAGCGTCTTTCGTATCCAAATGTCCAGCGATCGCCTTCAAAAACTGCATAAAATACTGGCTAAAATCTCCCTGCAAATCCCTTGATAATTCAATACATAATTCCAACAATGCATCCAAAGCTAAGGACTCGTTCTTTCGTAAATATCGCAAGAGAATTTCGATTATATCCTTCTGATGGTATACTAAAAGCGACAGGCTCTTAACTAAACTGTTAACCTCTTTATAAAACGATTGGAAATCGAGGGAGCAATTTAGCTCAGTCCATTTCGCCAAACCCTGCTGAAAAAATGTGTCGGAATCTTCGGGAATTTCTGACGTTTTTTCGATCTTATGCACAACATCAATGCGTAGTTTAGAAATTCGTTCAGTGAATGACACAAATTTAAACAGATTCGTCGATCTGCCCATTCTAAATCGAACAAATTCACGCTTCTATCTTTGAATAGGTCGCTGAATACACGTTGTTTATCAATTTTGATACTTTCAAAATTTTTAAACAGAGTTACACGACACGTGCTCTTGATGAAATACTTTATCTAACCTTCATTATAATAAGCCAGTGAACCCTATGTATATCTGGAGTAATAACGCCAAAACATTTTCTCTCTTTTTTAAATAAAAAGAAATTAATAATTTATTATTAGTACTAGGGAAATTTACAATAATCGATCATGCATTAAAACGAAGTTCTACAGACTAATTTAATAGTTCTGCAGACTATTTACAGAAACAACTTAACTAGACTACTCGCTAATATTTGAGTTCCATTCAGACAACGTAATGTCTTTAGTCGATGTGATGACGCACTCCTCCAACTTGGACTGCCACGAACACACACCACGCGAGCTCTAATCAAAGCAAAGCATAGCAAAGGCGATCTTTCGTCGTAACCTGCTAACCAGCATAGATGGAGAATGATTCTTCTTGTCAGCCAGCTTCGCACCCAGGAAGGAGAGACAATGTTGGGTCTCTCTACCGCATCCGCCAAAGGCGCTGAAGACGACTGGTGTGACCTCTCGCAGCAATATCCACTCTAGCGCCATCGGCTGATCGCATCGATAACGCATGCACTGGATTGCATCAAAGAACTCACGCTTGGTCAAGATGAAACCCTCATCAGCAAGTGGCAGAGCTGTTAGCCAAGCTGAGGTCATTTGCTCGAATCTGCTCTTCACTCATGCTCGATCTCAAGTTCTGTAGCAGCAACGATTACGAGTCCTAGCTTGACGTTGTTTTGCAATCTCACGACGAAGATCGGGGATGGACAACGCCAAAAATCGCTGATTCGGTAAGTGGGAACCCAACCAGGAACCCCAAGGTAATGAACAAAAAGGGATATTTAAGGAAGAGGAAGAAAGCGAGTCTTTTATATGTAAGATTTTTCCTTACACTGAAGACTCTCTTTAATACTGAATATTGCATATTAAGGAGTTGAGGTTTTAATAGTGAGCTACGAGGTTGAGTGAGCTTAAGCAAGTGACGCCGGGTTTTGACAACACAAACGGCATGAGTAAAGTCAAAACTCAAAAGACTTTTCCCGCACTGCCACATGAATACTTCGATGCACCTCACCTATAGAGCAGTGCTATCGATATTATATATCGGAGAGTGGCATAGGACGTAGTAAAGAAGTGAGATGAAGTGCTTTTACAAGTACTCTCATTTTATTCGCTCTCATCCCGGAAATTCTACAAACAGTCAAGTTTTGTAGAGCCAATCAAATCTCGTGTAACATCAGACTTTCCGCGTTTGACGTCATTATAAGAAAGGTCTTTTGTTAGAGTTTGAATGCCTAAGTAAAGCACTCTGTTGGGAACCACAAGTACCGTATATAAATGTTTGCCATAAGCATTTTTTTGCATGATGCAGTAAAATTTGTTTGTACGTAAAAATATTTATTAAAAATATTTACAATTTACAAATATGGATAACAATATTTAAATGTGCATCTCAAGCACCATGTCCCACTTCTCTAGCAACAAAAAGCATTGTTCGCCGGTACATATCATTCACTTCCCTTCGAATGAAGGCAGGCTGCACTCTTAAGGCATCAAATTCTTTGTGTATCGTCTGGCGCAACTCGTTCATATTTTGCAGTGGAGTTAAAAACACTTTATCTTTGATATATCCCCACTAAAAGGTGGATGGTGTCAAATCAGGTGAGCGCGGTGGCCACTCAACATCATGAGCTAATCCTATGATGTGATGATTGCCAAACACATCGTTAAGACGATCTCGCACCGCAATAAGGCGATAAGGTGGAGCACCATCTTGAACCCAGCATAGATTAACAAACCTTCGTAACCTTCCTTCCCTCGAAAAGCCTGTTTTGTTATAGTTCCATACATTCAGAGAATTGCAAAACCAATCAGGAGGATCCCGAATAATTGTGGTATAAAAATGGCCTTATATTTTGGTATAAAAATGGACATTTTTTCGCGAAACCCAAGGATCGCGTAGCGACTAAACAGAAAACTCATGCTGTATACTCTATGTGGTGATTGCGAGAAAGAATATCTAGGTGAAACAAAACGCCAGTTCGGCACACGTTTAAAAGAACATCAAAAAGCCGTTTCGAACTTAGATGGTTCAAAATAATCCTTGGCGGAACACGTGTGTCAAACTAACCATAACAGTGCGTTGAATCATTCAAAAGTCATTACCACTAATGACCATCGTTAGGGACAAAGGCGTTGTTTGGAAGCCTGGCATATTAAGGTCTTTGTGCCCTCAATAGGGATGACGGAAGCTATTTGCCAAAAGAACATTTACATCAGATTGATAGATGACGTCATTTTGAGAGTATACAGGGTATCTAAACAAACGAAAACTATTGGAATCACCCATCACAATGTAATCGTTAGAGTTTGAATGCCTAAGCACTCTGTTGGGATAATATAACAATAAATACTCGTTGTTTGGCGGTCAGCTGTACCATCTTTCGAGGCAATAAAAAGGCTAATTTAAATTTAATCATATTCACAATTTCAAATTTTTCGTATTTAGCATTTTATAAGTTGCATTAAATCCCCACGGGCTAAAATTCGTGAACACGGCATTCAAATTTTAACAATGAGTGATTTCAATAGTTTTCGGTTTTTTTGAGACACCCTGTATAAAGAAATGAGTTTCAATATCAGATCACCCCTACTAAAGGCACTTGACCGGAGTGAAGAAACGTTGCGTCGTGAAAGTTAATCTTTGTGTTGGTGATTACTTTCATTTATTAAAACCAGAGTAGCGATAATTGCGATGAATGCCCAAAACTATTGAAATCTCCTTTTGTTAAAATTTGAACGACTTGTTCACGAATTTCTGCCCGTGAGGATTAACACAACTTACAAAATGCTAAATAGGCTTTCGGCCACGCCGGCACAAACAAAAGTCTCACCGCGCCTCTCACAGTTATCCACGGTTATTTGTAAAGCGAATAAAAGCGTATTGTTATACAATAAAAGTCATTTGTGGGTATGCAAACAAATTGTACTGCCATGCTGGCCCACATGCATAAAAATGCCTACGTCGAACATGTATTTATACACTTGCATGTGGGTCCCAACAGGGTGCTTAGGCATTCAAACTGACAAACTCTGGCCATTACATTCAGTTATGGGTGATTTCAATGGTTTTGGTTTTTATTGGGACACCCTGTGTATGCAGCTTTATTGTTAGGGATATTGCAAAGGCCAAAAATACTCCTTAAAAATTTTAAAACAACTTCTATGGCCGGCAAGACAAATTTCTAGTTTATAGCTATATAATTTTCCAAACAAGACTTAAAAAATAGCGTTAGCGGTTACTACACTCGAAACCAGTTCTCTGGACAGCTTATTCCAGCATTTTTCGAAATGTTGGCGACAGTCTCAATATTTTGCCACACGATTTTACGCTTCCTATTTTTGATTTCGCGGCCAATATCTCGGTGATAATCCTCCAGGATTGTCATACAGTATTTTTCTAATTTACCCGTACATGGGGTCTGACCTGCTTCAATTCTTACATAGTGGGAATCATGGTTGAAAAGCATGAGCAGATCTTTCATGTCTGATGCACTGTGATTCTTACACATCTCTGGCCGATTTCCCGCCGCTATTTGTGATTGACAGAAACTAATTCGAGGAACACGTCGAAGGTGATTTGGGATCTGGACACCATGACCTCCTGTGTGCGGTTGGCCAAGAACACTTTTTGTGTATTTGGGTTCCAATTTGCGTCCATTTGGTAAAAATTTGTTATATTCCGCCAGGTCTTCACAAACCTCAAGGCTCCAGTCATATCTCCCTCTTTCAAAATACCAGGCATAACTCAAAATTACACTCACTGGAGAGAGATATCCAGTGTCTGTGTGATAGAATCTTTTAAAGGCTTCTTCAAAGTTGGTCGTCTTGAATCTTTTGAGTATGTGACTCCTGCAGTGCGTTACCGTATCGCGGTAAAAATACACAGGGAAATATGTCATAAAGTCAGCAATCATTGGAAACCCGATGGCCAGCTGCGTTGTTTTTGCCCAGGATCTGACCCAACCGTATCTTTTTGTATTACAACAAGAGCCTACAACACGGACCTTTGTTGCGTTAAGAATAGTGGATTGTTTCACCGGAATCAATAAACTGGCGTCATTATCCATCCATGCGATTATCGAGTCATTCGTAAATTTATCAATGAAGAAACTGCTCCAGAGCTGGCGGTTGTAGCCAGGACTCTTGAGTCGACGTGGAAAATCTAAAACTGTCTTGTCCTTAGGTAATGGTTCGTATTTAACTTCCATATTGTAGTCAGGGAAATATTGTCTGGTCTGTTGTTCTAGTTGCTTGCCGAACTCGTGATCTTCTTGTGACTCTTCATCAAGTGCGACCACAATTTTTCCCAATGAAGGAGGCCAAAATACAACAACTGGCTTGAAGAAAATACAGTAAAAACGAGTCCTGTGGTCCATTCTGCCAGACATCCTCACAAATAATGAAATATTACCGGAAAAATTGGAAAATAACGAAACATTTGGGAAAATGATTTCATCATTTTGAGTGAAATATTCGGCGGAATAAGTCGTAGTTATTGCACTATAAAAATATACGTAAATGAGCAGAACGATGGCGATTACAATAAGAATAAAAACATTCTGGTTTACATATCGAAACCTCATTTTAAAATGCTAGCAGAGATACATGGCTTCGTCAAAGCAACAGCGAACCACAACCAATACGTTTGCTATTATGTTATGTTTACCGTATGCAATTATATATTCATTGTGGAAGTGGACGAGGACGAGAGACTAATTTCCATAAAAAGTGTCTTCGTGCTCTGGCCAAAATCATACTATGGCGCTTTTTTGGGTTCAAAATACGAAGATGTAAATTCGATGAATGTATAAGATGCGATGAATGTGTACGATGCGCATTTGGATGTTAGATTTGTTTTTCGTTTCAGTAGAAGGCTTTCTTCACTCTTTCCTTTCAAAGATATAGTCCCTAAGTACCTGAGATCTGGTGTAGTTTATTTATTTAAGAGTCGGTGCTGTTCCGCGTCGTACGTGGGTCAAACCACGCGTCATGACATTTACATACCAGAATATCAGAGCACTTGGGAATATCATCTATCACTGGTAAACAGACCCCAAGCCCTATTATGTCCAGTATACATTCGCACTTAGAGGCTTACGGACACTCGGCTAGCTTTGACGAATTTAGAATCCTCTCTTCCTCATCTGACTCTTATGAGCTTATGATACATGAGAGTCTCCTCATCAAGGCAACTCTATCCCCCTCAATTTATTTTAGTGCTTACTTCGTAATTCGTATTGTCATCGTGTCGTGACGTCTCTGTCCCTTGTCGTCTCATGTACTGTTTGTCTTTACTTTGTCCTGGTTATCACCCTTTGTAAATTGATTGTAAATATATTACTAATCTAAATATTCAAATTATCATGTAATTAATCATTTAGTCTGAAGATGTCTTGAGTTAAGACAAAACGTCACAATTAAATATATTTTTACTATTCTCAAATGGTTTAAAATGTCTTTTATGGCTTTAGTGAAAGCACTATGTTGGGCTTTAATATTTATATTTCGAATGTGTAAGAATTAGTCAATACCAATAATTCGGTAAACACTGGATTTGTCAAAAATTATCCCAGTGAATAACCACTGATCTGAAATAAGACTCAGTGATAAAGTCATAATAACGATTAACGAATTCCTCGAAATGCTTCGCGACCAGTGTTCGCGAGTCGCGACCATTAATGGTAATAATACCTTGAATTTTTGAGCCCGCATGCTTGATTTGAACCGCAATGCAAAACGTCATCTTAATCTTGACAAAAATCACAATTCAAAATGGCGGCAGAAAAGTAACTAATGATTTGTATTTATCGAGAATCGAGATTACGACTGTCACTTATTGATTTTGGCAGAAAATTGTAGTCCAATCCAGGTGACGACATTGTCGAATTTGCTGTGTTTCGTTTGGAGAAAATATGTGGTCATTTGACTCGGATGGAAGATAGATTCCATTTTGTCGTCCGACTCGTCCGGGCTATCACAGACTGTCAGTACACTGTATCACAGACGTTATATCACTTATCCAAGACTTGAGATCACACCATAACAGAGTAGCTATTCCCAACATTCTCGAACAGACTAGAACTAACTCTGTCGGAAGATCAAAGTTTAATGTAACTCAAGAAGTCAAGAACAACTGGTCTATTTACTTGAGTGTGATATATGTCATATATCAGTACGTGACAATGACATTGCACATGGCAACATGCCCTTGGACCCTTGGAGTGGCACAAAGTACAATTAAAAGGCGATAATGGCGACTTAGGGAATATGGCATCTCAATTCGTAGTGAGGCAGGCGAACGCTTAACTGACGATGCAATAGATAACTTGCTAAGAGATGTGCAGCAGCGGTTTCCAAATGCTGGATACTGAAGGGTTTATTCTGTTCTGAGGGCAAGATCAGTGAATGTCACACAAGAAAGTGTAAGAGAGTCAATGCACAGGACAGATCCAGAGGGTGTTGCCATGAGGTGGCTATCAATAATTCCTAGAAGAGTTTATAATGTGCGAGGTGCTCTTTCCTTATGGCAGATAGATAGCAACCACAAGCTCATTCAGTAAATACTTTATTAAGATAAGAAATTACAGCTATGCAATAAAACAGTAATTGCTTAGGAAATGAATTGTATGTCCATTTCTTTTATTAGATAGCGAATTGTTGTGCATGGTGGGGTTGATGGATACACACATATTCCAACATTTCTGAAGTGTTGTACCAATAATCAAGCTGAAACTGTGCTCAAATTGTTTGAGGAAGCAGTCAATGAATATGGTTTGCCATCCAGAGTACAATTGGACAAGGGTGGTGAAAATGTCCTGGTTTCTATGTTCATGCTCAATCACCTGTTGAGACTTAAGAGGTCCAAATTGTGGTAGTATGATTGTGGACATAGTGTACATAATCAGAGGATTGAGTGACTATGGACAGACTTCTTTGATGGTGTGTTATAATAGCTATCACCTATTTTTTCGTTTGAAAGATTCCCTTGCGTCGATGTATCAAATGATATGCACTTTTTCCATATATATAAATAAAAGTATTACAATGATGCATTGTACCTTACAAGTTACCATTCATTTTTAAGCCATCCTTTAATTGATCCAGACTGACTTTTCATATATTCAAAGCAAAGTGGCATAGGACACACTGGGCAATTTCATCCTGGTTTTGAAGCTGAAGGATTAAGAGAATTTTAAAATAATATTTATATATGAATTATTATATCTATGAGTATTCTAAACTTTTCTAAAGTTTTCATTTTTTTTTAATCAAGTTCTTGCTTGCAGATAAAATTGATGTGCTGCCATGGCCAAGTTGCATTGATTACTTTAAATAAAATATAGTATCTTTTCAAATCAAAAAACGTTAATGAGGTGAAAATGCAATTGGTGCAAATTTAGCATATGCTTTTTCTTGTCAATATTTTCAAATTTCAACACAATAATTATTTGCAAAAAAACGCGCGAAGAAGCAGAATGGAAGAACCTCTTGTAACTTCACGCATATTGAATGGCACGTGGGCGCAAGGTCGCAAAGCATTATCGGGGAATTCGTACAATCAACCAATTCATTGCGATAATTTTTGTCAAATCCAGCGTTTACCTAACACCTCGTCTGGTGCCGCGTTTTATGATATAGTCTGACGCAAAGCATGACGGTGTGCGTGCTAAGTTCACCATTTTTCTGTGACTGACCCATGGGCTGTCAATGGAAAACCGAAGATAATCAAAGTGCAAAAAATGACAAACAGTCGCGTTGTCTTGCCAGCCTGACAATTTAGTCTTGCCAAAATTACCTATATACATAAAAAATAAATGTTACAAAGTAGTTTGCTTGAACTAACTGATAACATGCACCAACGTATGACTATAGGTATAAAGAGTGGTTCAGTGGTTGAGACAGATTATTCATTATGTTGCATTATAAATAGATGAATTATTGCATTTTGTGTTGCAGAGCTCGTTTGTTAGATTCAGAGATGCACCAACGTATGACTATAGGTATAAAGAGTGGTTCAGGCAATTTATTAAAATATGGAAATGTGCCCACTTAATTACCTACAAGACTACCTAGAAGATCTTTTTTCCGTTGGCAGCTTGGACCATAATATCAACCGTACGAAACTCTGAAACTTTATGATTGGGTAATGGCCATATGTGAAATTGTCATGTCCAACGTATGTCATTATTTAACAGAATAATGATTCGATTTTCCTCTGAATCATTTCTCATCAAACAGACCTTACTCTTTGATTTCTTATAAACAGGAAGCGAAATTAAAAAAACTAGGCTTTCCCTAAAAGAAAGAAAGACAATCAAGGGCCATTCGTTGAATTTTAGCGAATTTACTATAATGTGCTTATCTTGATTGTCTTTCAAAGTTTTTCATAAGAGTTGTACTGCATACTTTGCTCTTCAAACAGTATATGTTCAAGCCTTATGATCTTTCCATTTTGAATCTTCGTTATTTTTGCAGTTTTTTCTATTTTCCTTATTGCATGGAGGAGGCTTCTCTGCAAACGATCTGAAGCATCCTCTGATAGGTATGGCTTATTTATTAACTGGATGTCCTTGTGTTCGGTTTGCTTGTTCCCAGCATGTTGAGACTGATTCTCGATGCACTGCTAGTACAGAAACCGTAAAACCAGGTGCTGCTACACGGCCTACACCCAAAGGTCGCTTTAAGCTGCTAAACCAGCGCGGCCGGGGGTTTGCAGGTTTGTATTTTCAAACTTAGTTCTAACCAGCGTAACAGCGCCCCTCTAAGGTCCTGGATTTTTTATACTGATAGGCGTTTTAGTACGAATACATGAAAATTAATCATAATTAATTAATTATAATTTATATTTCGGACGTTTAACTGTTGGTTACGCAACACTTATTATTAGCCAAATTGACTCATTTTTTCGGTGTACGGGTTTTGGGTGTGCTAGCTCAATTTTAAAATTCTCTATCCTAAATTCACATCTTTCCTGGAAACGCCTTACGAGAATTGGTCCTGTGCGCACGTTTGTGATTGGCTGGCCTCTATCGGTATGGCGGAACATGGTGACTTGTTCCAAGAGAACGATATCCGAGGGTCGAAAAAGACCTGTGAAAAAGTTGACGTAAGGTGTGAAAAAGTCACGTCATCGAATGACGATTACCAACGAGGTCAAAAGACTTCTCAACAAACAAAGGCGCTGCTACGAATCTGTGAAATTTTTTTTGTAACAAAACTTTTGCGGAAAGAGGATGTTAATGACTTAAAACCGAAAAAAAAATCCGAATCTATTTTGTTGGTAAAGTTCTTCTCACAAAGTCGAATATTCGAAATATGGTATAATCAACATTGGTATGGTCGAATCAATAGAAATGGTATATACAACCTTGTTGTGGTATGCTGTACGTTTAATCTTGGTGAGTTCGAATATAGCGGAATATATATATAGTATGTTCAACCTCGATGAGGTCGAATAAATATAGATTACTTCGTGGTTGACGAGTGCGTACGATTTTTATGCACGAGTTGTGAATCGCAAAACGAACGGGTGTGGGATACATAGTCCAGGGTCGATATTCACTCTCCCTTTCAGGGAGACTGAAAATATACATCAGTGCCAGATTTGGCCACCAAACAAGTTTTAAAGATTTCGAAATGTTTTTAAGTAGTATTGTTGCAATTTGAAAATCATTTATTTTTCTAATGATTAACAGCGCGTTCATATATTCACCTTTCATTCGTGAACGAAATTAAAGCCATTGAAGTTTTCATGGAGGTACGAGCTAAAATACTTTACTCTAAACGTTCGTTTAGCGTATATTCTTTAGGGCTATATATTATACAGGGTGTCTCAAAAAAACCCGATAACTATTGAAATCACTCATAACAATGTAATTGTTAGAGTTTGAATGCCTAAATATTCTGTTGGGATAATATAACAATAAACACTCGTTGCTCCGCGGTCAGCTGTACCATTTTCCTTCGAAGCAATAACAAGGCTAATTTAAATTTAATCATATTCACATTTTTAAATTTTTCGTATTTAGCATTTTATTAGTTGCATTAAATTCCCACGGTCTATAATTCGAGAATACGTCATTCAAATTTTAACAATGAGTGATTTCAATAGTTTTCGTTTTTTTGAGACACCCTGTAGTTTAGAGACAAATACTAAACTGATGACAAATAATAATTAATTTGTGCTAAAAGTTTATTGCAGACGTCTTTATTTCATTGACTGATTTCTAACTTTCACCCATTTGCAAACGGTCTATTATAATCTTCGAACCGGGCGACGAATCACTCTGTTCTGCCTCACGGGGGCCTGGGCTGGGATGTTCCCGACTAAAAAAATTGAATATAAATATTCATTAACACATTAATTAACTTCAAACAAAATCAACATGCTGTCATATGCATAAACCCATCTCGAAAAGCTTGGAGTAACTGTACATTATAGCTACTTACAAATGTTTGTCTTCCTACCGTCGACTTCCCCAAAACGTTTGTCCAAGACCATTCTAATCTCTTCACTACTTGATGGTTCGCTTGCACTCGGAGTGTAACTCAACTTCGCGACTTGTACTGATTCCTTAAGGCCAGCTGGTGGTTTCTTCAGGAGATTCTCTGCGTAAGACAACATCATTTTTTGCGAGGACATGACCTCTTCGTCCGTTCCGCTGTCGATTAGCTTTTTGGAAAGTAGTACGGAACGACTTAAATTCTCAACATATTTTCTCGCCTCTTCTGTCGGTCTCTCCAGCTTCAACTTTTCGGCGGCGTAGATTAGCTCTGCTTCAATCAAAAGCACTTCAGCTTTTTGCTCTACCATTTTAGTGAGCTCTTCTATCACGCTTTCTTTTTGCTGAATAATTTCCCTCGTGGCATTTGCGGCGTCGCTATAGAGTTGTTCGTTCGCCGACAGTAATTTTTTAAGATGAGCATCGCCTTCAAGTAAAGCATTATTCATCGCTTGGCTTTTCGCGACAAGTTTCTCCTTACAGGAGCCTGCTACATTTTGAACTAAAAAAAGAAAATGGTTGCATAGCTTGGTGTGTTTAACCTCCATACATTCCTTACAAACAAGCTGGTCACATGTTTGGCAGTAAGCCGTCAATATCTCGTCCTGATGTTCATTGCAATATATCTTCTCTCTTAGTTTCTTTCGATTTTCCGGCTTGATCAATTCTTTCATCGCGAGCACAGAATGATTGCTGTGACCTCGATATTTATTATGGACTGTCAGACATTCCTTGCATAGGAATTTCTTACAGGTGAGGCAACGAGCGACTGAAGGACCTTCGGTACACTTATGCGAACACGTAACCTCGGTCGTCTGATTCAGTATGGTCGCCTCTTCAACCAAATTACGTATGAACGGATTCTGTCGAATATCGGGGGCCTGCTTTTGAGGTTTTATTGTAAACGTCTGGTGACAATTTGGACACGGAAGCTCGCGAATATGTCGACCGTCAGGTGCTTTATCACGGCACGATTTCACAATGTCTTCGAGACATACTTTGCAGAATGAATGCCAACATGGAAGGGTTCTCGGATCTTTTAACAACTCCAGGCAAGCAGAGCATTGTGATGGATTCATCAGGCTTGTTTGAGCTGCTTCGCACGTAAACGCCATGATTTAACGCTATGGTCGTTCGTGTAATTGATACTTGAAATGATATCTTCTTTCACAATCTCAAAACGTGACCTTCCGGCGATATATTTGTTCTAGAAATTCCAGTTTCATCCGGAACGGGTAATTAGGGTTGTCACACAAACGTAAATATGCATATATCAGTACACCTGCTTCCACACAAGCGTGCTTGGTAGTTACCGCAGAAAGGTTACCTGTAGTAGTTGTGTGTGGAAATGTATATCAGTTGTAGCGTAAGAAGATATTGTTTAGACTTGGCTGTGACATAATGTACCCGTTGAATGTCTAGTAACGCGAGCATGCATGCAACAATATCCTCGTACGTAACCTTGGTTACATAACAAGTTAAAAACAATATTTGTACCGGGAGTACAATTGTACAACTTTATCGCGAGATGTCCTGTGACTCCTGTCACGAAGTGAGATCATTGAAAACTAAACACGCCAGCAAAGAAAGAGTGCACACCAGCGCCAGAACTAGCCTTACGACTAAAGTACTGTTGAATATATGCCTTGAGTACTGAACGCGAAGACGCTTTGTTATGATTGACATATATACAGCTGGCTTCAATTAGGGTATATCAAGGTATATCCTTGATTAAAAATTATTTTTAAATAAACGAAGATACATTTAATCGTGTTTTATTTTAGTGTAAACGAGCAGAAGTGTGTAACGCGTACTTCCCCGTTTCATGAAATTTATTATCGTGAGAATGATGAATTGCTGTGGAATTGCACCCGGAACCCGGGTGAACATACAATTTAATCATATGATCTGTCTCAGGGGATTATCAGCCCTTCTTTACTTCTTAGGGATTATCACCCCACCTTCTAGGGGAGTATCACCCCTTCACTTCTTCGGGATTTTCACCCCATTCTCTAGCAGATTATCACCCCACCTCATAGGGGATTATCGACCCTTCTTCCAGGGGATTATCACCCCATAGCTCTTGGGGATTATCGCCTAAAGAGCGCTTGCTCTAGGGGATTATCCTCCCCAGGACACTTTTGTTTATAAACTGTAAAATGAATTTGTAAATAATTATCACCGGATGTGTGTTTTATTCTATACATCGCTAAGCCGAAAAGCAATTGAAACATGTTTTTAAGAGAAATGTGAATATTAAGATATTAGTTTACCTGAATCGCCACAAAAGCTTTACGATTTTTAATATTTAATGCAATGCATGATTCCTATATGTATAGTAAACTATATTTGTGAGTAAAAAATAGAGCAAGATTTGAACAAGACGTCGTCCATTACTTCCATTTTGGTTAACATTACCTACCACTCAACGCCAGTTAACGTCAATATGACGTAGCTACTTCTCCAGACCGGTCTAAAAGATAGATTCACTTCATTTGAAAATCGTTATTCTGATTAAAAGCAATTTGCACATTCTATTCTCTCCTCCAGACTCTGACCAAATCGAACGTTTAGGGCAAGATACTCTGGATAAAACATATACTATCAACACCATAGCCCTGAATAGTACAACTGTCTAGTACAACCACAGTACCACTTTGTACAATAGTGCAAAAATCTTTGTTTAAATACTACTTACTATAATTTATACATTCCATTGGCCTTAACCACTCCAAAAAAGTCGGCCAAGACCGCGTTAATCTCTTCACTCGATGGCTCCATTATACACGAGGTGTAACTCAGCTTGGCAACGTGCACTGGTGCCCAAAAATCATTTGGGCACTTTCTCAGTAGAGTATCCGCGTTATCAGACAGCATTTTGTACGAGGACACAATCTCTTCCCCCGTACCGCTTTCAATCAATTTTCTGGAAAGCTGAACAGACCGATGCATATTTTCGACATATTCCTTTGCATTCTCTGTTGGTTCAGCCAACCTCAACCGCTCACGGGAATAAATTGAGTCAACTTCATCTAAAAGCATTGCAGCCTTTTGTTCTATCATGCCGGTGAGTTGTGCTATAACGCTATCCTTTTGCTGTTCAATGTCTCTTTTAACACTTTCAACATCGCTATCAAGTAGACTATTCGCCAACAGTAAGTTGCCAAGACGACCATATCCTTCAAACAAAGCAGTATGCATCGCTTGGTTTTCCAATGCCAATCTCGTCCTACAGGAGCCTGCCAAATTTTGAACTAAAAAACGGGAATGAACGAACCTGGCGTGTTTGCCGTCCATGCATTTCTTACAAACCAGCTTGTCGCATGTCTGGCAGTATGCGATCAATGTCTCGCCTTGATGTTCATTGCAATATATTTTCTCTCTCAATTTCGTCCGATTTTCTGGCTTAGTCAGCTCTTTCATCGTGAGCACAGAATGATTGCTGTGACCTCGATATTTGTTATGGACTGCTAGACATTCCTTGCACAGGAATTTCTTACAGGTGAGGCAACGAGCAATTGAAGGACCTTCGGTACACTCATGCGAACAGGGAACGTCGGCGGTCTCGTGACTCTCATCCTGGATGGTCGCTTCTTCAACCAAATTACATATGAAATGATTTTGTCGCACATCGGGGATCTGATTGCGGGAATCGATTGTAAAGGATTGGCCACAATTAGGACAGGGTGACTCACGGATACGTCGACCGTCGGGTGCTTTGTCAGGACATGCTTGAACAATGTCTTCGAGACATGCTTTACAGAATGAATGCAAACATGGAAGCGTTCTTGGGTCTTTCAATAACTTTCGACAAACAGAGCATTGCCATTGTTGTGAAATGATCATGCTTGTTTGAATTGTTTCAAGCGACAACGCCATAGTTTAGGTCCAGCTATTGTATTTCCTATAATTGATATTTGATAAGGTATTGTATTTCACAATCACAAAAATGTGACCTTTTGATACATTTGTTCCAGAAATTCAACTTCCTGCATGCATAGATAATAGACCTTTTTCATAATGACGTCAAACGCGGAAAGTCTGATGTTACACGAAGTTTGATTGGCTCGATAGTTTTGTGGAGCCAATCAAATTTCGTGTAACATCAGACTTTCCGCGTTTGACGTCATTATAAGAAAGGTCTATTACGTGCTGTTACGCTAACGTAAATATACCTTCAGTTTTCTTGCCGTCGAGAATCTGTGTAATCCGCTATATTGATTCGGATTTGATAAATCACAGTTGCCTTGAGAGGTATAGCCATCTGTCGCGTCCCTGCTGACAGGAGCGGAGCGTCAACAGAACCGGTAAACCAACATACTTAAACCGCTTAGTATAAATATTTTATTCGGTAACCAGTCGGGGAAAACTAAAACGACGATTAAAGATAACTATGCCTATAGTATTTACATATATAAGATTATACAAAGACGAGACAAATGATTGAACATATAAACAAATACGTGGTGACTTATATCTTTGCTAGAACTAATAAATGTTCTCCGACTTCGTATGTGAAAAATGTTCTCCCAGTGTCCCCGATGAAGTTTAGTTCACGTTTTACCGCGCGTTGTTTGAGCGTTTTTACACTCCGCCCCCACGCTATTATATAATAGCATGCATAAAATTAGTGAGTCGTCACACAATCCATTTAAGGCCCTGTTACACGGTGCAATTTTTCTTGCAACTTGCAATGCAATTCTTCTTTTGAGAGATGTAAATTTGGCAACTACCGAACTTTTGTCTTTATTACAATCCATGGCTTTTCTTACACTTACATTTTGAGGCCTCTTCACTAATTAACATTTCTTAAAAGTAGAATGCATTGCAAGTTGCAAGAAAAATTGCATCGTGTAACATGGCCTTTAGGCTGCGCGCGTTCCACTTGACTGGACGAATTTTATACCGTCACACCCTCAGAAATGTTGGCCAACATGGTTGCCAAGCATGCGCGACTTTTTTGATGGTTGCCAAGAACTCGCTGACGATTTTCTTTTCAATTGTGAGAATTCGAACGTAGCGGATTTTCTTCACCGGTCACAATTGAGAAGAAAATCGAACGAAAAATTTCGTTATCGATCGAAAAATTTCGTCTGGTGGAAAATCGCCTTAGGAAAGGAGTGGGAAACCAGTAAAATTTGCGTTACATTTAACTCACAATTGGGAAGTCATGTATGTCCACGTCCAAAACAATGAAACGTCATAAATTTTATCGACCTTTAAGCACAGAGAATTTCAGATCGCATTTTAGAAGCTTTAAAGGACATGTAAATGCGTTCCCCAACGCGATGCAGTTGATGAATTTCGCGGAGCGGTTTTTGATCGCCATTATTTCCTTTTGGTTGTTGCTATGATGCAAAGACAAAGCAAAACTTAGATAGTAAAAATTCACCAATATTTTATAACTAATCGAACTAAGTGGCGTGCTTCATGCTAACACGAAAAACCAGTCAAATTTCCATCCATTCTTATCGTGTGAACATCTGAACTGGACAATTACGTGCGAATCCGTCCGGTCCCGACTGAAGGTAGCTTTCCTTTAGTGGAACAGGTACAATTATAAAGCAGAACGCGCAATGTTACCAGGGACGTACCAGTGGGGTGGAGGGGAGGCTGGTGCGGGGTGTAACAACCTCAACGAGAATGCTCTTGTTGCGGCCTGACCTTTACGAAAAATTTATAAAAAACTGAAAACTAATTTCGTTCAACTTCATAATAATGGAAAACATTATACTGATTTTTTTTCCATTTTCCAAAGAGGTATTAATCGGATTTTTCATCAAAATTATTATGTAATTGTTTCAGTCCGGGATATGCATAGAGCTAAGCTTAAAAAAGGTTTTGGATATATTATAATATATCAACGAGGTGCAGGTGCAGGAATAGCTATGACTAGTAATATCCCCCATCGATTATTTACATGTACAATGTATGTATAGTATATATATATATATATATATATATATATATATATATATATATATATATATATATATATATATATATATATATATACGCATGGTTGCTACCTTATTATCATTATGATTATTATTAGATAGATTGCAAGGTTATATAATGCCACAATCATGATTTTCCTTTTTTCTTTGCAAAAATTAACAATTACCACTGCACACGGCTTACACGAGCATTACCATGCAGCAAACGACAATCAAAATTGTCCCAAGCATTGGACGTCCATCATGAGCTGCAAAACAAAATGAAAATTAAGGTAATCTAACTACCGTAAAAGTCACAGAGGTAGTAAAATTAAAAAGTGAACTAAAAAACACTAAATTCAAACTAGAATTTACTTCGGAATGATCCATCTGGAAACTGATAACTATTATCATTACATTAAAGACCTATATCCTATGTAAAACCTAAGGAAAAGTAAATCATGTATAGCGTAAATGTTAACGGGCTAAGGCACCTAAAGTTTTTAAGATCATTAACTTGTATCAAAATGGCCGAGTAATCCTCGCCGGTATAATCCTTCCCCGTTCGATGTCGCAAAACCATAAAAAACTCTTTTTGGTTATGTGCCTTGGTGACAGTGATTCGTTTTTGCAACAAAAATGTTGGCTATCCGAAGTTGATTTTGTTGTCTTCAGGCCAAAAAAAAAATACAGTTGTTTAGTCGAACTGAAAACGTCAGTTTAGTGGCCATAATAGGAACGTGGCATTGTATATATAACAGTTACAACTTTTTTCAACTTATAACTTTTTTCAAAGCTTGGCATCATCGTCTGTTCAAATATTCTAAATGTGTCTTACCATCAGATTTTGGTCTCAGTGTACTCTGCGTCCTATTACCGTCGTCCGGGCGAATAATTAGCAAACTTGAAATGTTACGTTTCGAAGTTGCAACAGTCTCGTTGACAAATCGAAACTCCTGTAAACAAAAAAGTATTCCATGGTAGTCAAGCATTGAATGGTATATCGTCAACGTATGTGTCTGCGTGGTTGCGTCTGATGGTTGAAATATAGTGTCATGCAAAATCCGATGGTGGTTTCGGTGGAAGGTGATACAGATTTGGTATCGTGTTGGAATAGTGCTGGATATGTGTGTTGTAGACTTCTAGTGGCAGATGGTTGGGATGGTTACAGAAAATTCCTGTTGGATGTTGAATATCGTTTGTAATGGCATAGGAGTGATTTTCTAATGCATTGTGAAACGTACGAAGATTTTATAAAATAAAAGTGCAAAGGTTAAAAGAATTAACGAAAAAATACAACTTAAACCTTCGAGAAAACAGAAACTTCAAACGAGATAAAATTTGCAAGATCAGCCGCGAATGTGGATTGGATTGAGGCCGAGACTGACACTGATGTAGTTGTACTATCGCTGGTATTCAAGGAGGCTCTAAAATTTATTTGAATGCCGACGGAATCCTTGCTTTTTACAGTGACGTTCTTTGGAGAATATGAAGAAACAAATGACTTATCGTCGGACACCAGAATCGTGAATGTATTACCTGGACCGTGATTTTTCAAAATTACAATCATTTTCGCTGTATCGTTTGGTGTTAGCCTCAAATTGCTGTTTTGTACAGATATTTCAACTTCAAACTCCTGTGGTCTGATCACTGGAGGTTGGACACGCTGGATTGTTTCTCCATTTTTACCATAACCAATATACATTATCCTAAATGCATCGTGTGTGGCTTGAATGGAACCATAATACGAGTTATTATAGAATTCCAGGCCTTTCTGCAACTCGAATCGTTCCAAACGATCTCCTGTCATATTTATTATGTACCCTGTGAGGTTCCTGTTTACCATTAAGACACTTTCTGTCGGTTCCACGGTAATGTATAATGGCATTCCTACGTATATGCAATATAAATAAACAAAAGCCCAGAGAGGGGTAAAGGGTCGCAAGAGTCCCTAAAATTCTAGAAGAATAAAAATCAAACTATTGTTGGAAGTATATAGAGCTCTTTTAGAAAGAGTTTTGGGTTATTTATAGTTCAGGTAATGCATTATATATTCGATATTGCAAAATCTCACCCCCAAAACGAAGGAAATCGCATTTGCGCACTCCAAAATTTCAAAATTTTCTTGCGGGGGGATACCCCCCTAAAAGCGCTCTATCCCCCCAAATGTACCTCTTTTACACCTATCAAGGTTCGAATTCAGGCCATGCATTATCGTACCACAATAGTACAAATTTGCATGAACTTATTATGGCATTTTTTGTTGTGGGTCAATTTGGGCCCCTAATGAGAATTTTGCCCCAAGCTCCCAAAATTCTCTGGGCGGCTCTGACTAGAGACGGAAATATTAATTCCAAGTAATCATAACTATAATACAGTTCTGTGCGAAACCATGCATACAATGAGGTCGGTAAAGTTCGAGTTAAGCCTCCCGAGTTAAGCCCTTTTCGAGTTAAGTCCCGACCACGCCCAAGACACACCCTTTTTTGCAGAGGGCTTAATTCGATTGGTTTATATTCCCTCGTGGTAGTCGTAGTGGTAGTCAAATCTGAACCTTGCTAATGTTTAAGTTACTACCGACCTTTAACTGGATTCCCTGATACTGGAACCAGAACCTTTTCAGAGAAGCCAGAGAACTCATCTTTCTCATCCACACTGCAAAAAAACTTTGCGTAGATTTACTCAAAAAATTGAGTAAAACAATGCGTCCACAGTAACACATACTTTTGCGTTAATTTACTCATTCTGCTTGAGTAGATTTACTCAAATACTTGAGTAAAGTGAATGCGTCCACAGTAACACATACTTTTGCGTAAATTTACTCATTCTGCTTGAGTAGATTTACTCAAATACTTGAGTAAAGTGAATGCGTCCACAGTAACACATACTTTTGAGTAAATTTACTCAAAATGCGAGTAAAGTGAGTCGACCAAACAGATTAGAAAAAAATTCGGATGTAAGTAAAGAAATTACACGCAACCACGAGTGAAACAATTTTATATTACATAAATTTATAATTTATAAAATACAGTAATGTACGTTTAAAAGTCATGCGTATATATTTATACATTATGTTAGGGTCATGCGGTCATAGTGTTTATAGCTGTTCTTAACCATCTTCTCAATATCTTCATTTTCCTATACATAAAACAAAAGATATACAACACATTAAATATAGGCACTGAAAAAGTGAAGCCAAGATTACACACCTAAGATTGCTGTTCAAATGTAAATGATTCAACGGAAAACTTACATTGATAAATGGTACCATAGACAATCCAGAAGACAGGGACTGGAAACGCTATTGTTTTCGCGTGCGCTCTCCATGATACGGCCGGCATATTTTGCGGGCTCATGTAGAACTCCATTTTCGAAAACAACAATGGAGACACTTCTCAGCAAAAAGACAACGCACGCAGTTATTTGGTGATTTGTAGCTTTAAAAACGCAAAGAATATGTTGGTAAAAGAAAAGTTAACAGTTTATTGTTTTTTGTTTAAACTATCTTTAAATGGGACTCTAAAACTAGCCAAAAGTTAATTTACTAGGCACATATTTCGAGGAAAACAATGGCGACACTCGGTTTAGCAAAAAATACAACGCACGCAGTTTTTTATGATAATTTCACTTTTTTAATATAAGACGATGTTGGAAAATGCGATAAGTGCACAGTTAGTTGATTTATTGTGTGAAATATATAAAAACGACCCTCTGAAACTGGGTCAAAGTGATTTTATAGGGTCCCAACTAGGTACATATTCTACGAGAACAAAAAAAGTGACATTTTGACATCAAAACACGACGCATGAAGTTATTGGCGATTCTTAGCTTTTCAAGCGCAAAAAGAGGCTGAAAAAGGTAATAGATGTAAACCCTGTATTATTTTGTTTACACAATGTAAGACAAAGTTTCGGCTCAATTTATCAAAATTGTAGTTACGGTGTACAAATTAATGGTGCATACATGGCGGTCCTTTTGTGGTAGAGACTAAAAAAGGTTCTTACTGTCGGGCTCACACACTAGTCTGCATGTAGTTACAAGTTGCAGTCGCTGTCCTAATGCATTCTTTTGTAATATAAGATGCTATTTTTATGTTGTCAAAGAAAATTTATAGCTTTAATTTCAAGTTACAGGGTCCCAAAAAACTACCTAGTTTTTACGTGCGTTTATTTTTGATGCAAACACTTTTGGAACTGAAACTATGAGCACTGTTTACACTCAAGATGAAAAATGAAAACGCACTTACCTTGAAAATGTATCTGACTTAAAGGTCAGGTAGAAATGTAGTATTTATATTAAAAAAATCCTTCAAAATATGCAAACTTTTGCTGGATCTACTTTGCATTATTTTTTCTGAATAAAGAGCCCGGTTGCGTAGCAACTTAACAATTGACGTGATAAAGCCATATCACCACAGAGGAGAGATGGACAGAGAGTCGACTCGCGGCTCCACGCGTCCCCACTTTTTTACTCGCGCGCGCTAGTAAGCGTTTACACCCGATTCCCTTCTGGTAAGCTCCGAGCACATTTTTAATAAGAAAAAATGGAATTTTTGCCAGTAAAAATGCAATTTAAAAAAATTTAACCGCTTTGGCTGAAATGTTCCAAACGTTTTTTGTAGTGTAAGGTAAGAGCTAAAATATATTTTCTTTAGAAAGCCCAGGGATGATATGCTTGATGAAAATTTGATCAAAAAAGTTTGAAAAATGACTGAAAAAGTATGTAATCGAACGGCAACTCTGCTTGAGAAGTAAAGATACATAATTATGAATGTTTTCAGTGAATGTTTGTATCATCAAATGGTGCTAATTATTAAGAAACTGATATCCTCTGCGAGTTAAAGTTATATCACGCCTAAAACTCTGTTTTGTTTTGAAATGTTTTGCTACGTATTTTGTCGATATTTTAAAATTAAAACGCGAATTTAGAAGTATTCTTTGAAATTCGTCCTATATTGTTATCTCACAAATATGCAAACACTCTGCCTGCTAGTTGACAAACAGTAAAAAGCAGCTCTGAGTACGTTTTACTTTGGCAAACACAATTTGACAATTCGGGTAAAAATATGGCAGCCGACAACGGTAATCAGAACTCACTTACAAAACAAGGATTTTAATATTGCTTTTAAAAACAGCACGATCATTTAAACCCAACAAAACAAACAACTCACCGTTCATCTCCAAAATTTTAGTCCAAAAATGGATATAATCCGACCCAGTTAAAAAAAAATCAATTTTTCACCTATCGAACAGCGTTTTTTCTACACTTTTGTATTGAAATTTGGCCGAAAGAGCTTACCAGAAGAGAATCGGGTGGTTGCGTGGCGCGTGGAAATGACGTGAGAATGACGTGAATATTAGGCAAAACTCGGGGACACTCGTTTCAACATTAAATCGGAAGAGTCGACTCTCTGTCCATCTCTTCTCTGTGATATCACGGATGGCGCGTCAGCATTATAAGTGTTTTAGCTTGCGTTTCCAGTCCCTGTCTTCTGGATTGTCTATGATGGTACGAAGGTAGACAATGCGACTTCAGTCCGTTCAACTATAAAACGAATTATCGAACAAGATTAAACATGCATAGCATAACGGATTATTATGCTCACGTTTGTCGCTTCGTGTGACATTAATACTTGCATGTCTTAGATAATGGCCCTGGCAAAATATTATGCATGCTTTCTTTGCCAACAACCAGCAAAAGCACGCATGTCGCCAGCAAACCAATTATGAACGAGGACAAACCAATGCGAGACAACATAAATATGTATAGTAAATGCATTGAAGCCTGACAGTCTGCTAGTAAATGCATTGAAGCTTGAAAACTGGTGGCTCCAATACAGGTTCAAGGCTAAAGAACAAAGAAACTATAATATCAATCTAGTCGATAATGCATTTATGATGACTCACACACCTAGCAACCTTGCACAAAAAAACCAATATGCACCCCTAATAAATGTATATAGTATATACCTTAAAGCACTGCCTTAACAGTCCTCGACAACTGGCGGATCTTTTACAAGTTCCACCAGGAAGAGATAAAGGCAAAAGGCGGCGTTGACCACCTCTCGTACAGGCTCAAGGCATACCCAGTAAAAAAAAACTACTGACTTATAATATAAATGTATATAGTATATGCAATGAAGCACTGCCCTAACAGTCCTCGACAACTGGCGGATCTTTTACAAGTTCCACCAGGAAGAGATAAAGGCAAAAGGCGGCGTTGACCACCTTGCACTGAAGCTGTTAAACAGCACTGTTCGTACAGGCTCAAGGCATACCCAGTAAAAAAAATACTTATAATATAAATGTATATAGTATATGCAATGAAGCACTGCCCTAACAGTCCTCGACAACTGGCGGATCTTTTACAAGTTCCACCAGGAAGAGATAAAGGCAAAAGGCGGCGTTGACCACCTTGTACTGAAGCTGTTAAACAGCACTGCTCATACAGGCTCAAGGCATACCCAGTAAAAAAAACTACTTATAATATAAATGTATATAGTATATGCAATGAAGCACTGTCCTTACAGTCCTCGACAACTGGCGGATCTTTTACAAGTTCCACCAGGAAGAGATAAAGGCAAAAGGCGGCGTTGACCACCTTGCACTGAAGCTGTTAAACAGCACTGCTCGTACAGGCTCAAGGCATACCGAGTAAAAAAAATACTTATAATATAAATGTATATAGTATATGCAATGAAGCACTGCCCTATAGTCCTCAACTGGCGGATCTTTTACAAGTTCCACCAGGAAAAGATAAAGGCAAAAGACGGCGTTGACCACCTTGCACTGAAGCTGTTAAACAGCACTGCTTGTACAGGCTCAAGGCATACCCAGTAAAAAAACTACTTATAATATAAATGTATATAGTATATGCAATAAAGCACTGCCCTAACAGTCCTCAACTGGCGGATCTTTTACAAGTTCCACCAGGAAAAGATAAAGCAAAAGGCGGCGTTGACCACCTTGCACTGAAGCTGTTAAACAGCACTGCTTGTACAGGCTCAAGGCATACCCAGTAAAAAAACTACTTATAATATAAATGTATATAGTATATGCAATGAAGCACTGCCCTAACAGTCCTCGACAACTGGCGGATCTCTTACAAGTTCCACCAGGAAGAGATAAAGGCAAAAGGCAGCGTTGACCACCTTGCACTGAAGCTGTTAAACAGCACTGCTCGAACAGGCTCAAGGCATACCCAGTAAAAAAAACTACTTATAATATAAATGTCTATAGTGTATGCAATGAAGCACTGCCTTAACAGTCCTCGACAACTGGCGGATCTTTTACAAGTTCCACCTGGAAGAGATAAAAGCAAAAGGCGGCGTTGACCACCTTGCACTGAAGCTGTTAAACAGCACTGCTCGAACAGGCTCAGGGCATACCCAGTAAAAAAAACTACTTATAATATAAATGTCTATAGTATATGCAATGAAGCACTGCCTTAACAGTCCTCGACAACTGGCGGATCTTTTACAAGTTCCACCAGGAAGAGATAAAGGCAAAAGGCGGCGTTGACCACCTTGCACTGAAGCTGTTAAACAGCACTGCTCGTACAGGCTCAAGGCATACCGAGTAAAAAAAATACTTATAATATAAATGTATATAGTATATGCAATGAAGCACTGCCCTATAGTCCTCAACTGGCGGATCTTTTACAAGTTCCACCAGGAAAAGATAAAGGCAAAAGAC